CCCCCCCCCCCCGCCTCTGTCAGGAGCCCAGAGTCCTAGGATACTTCGTGGCTGCTGGTGGCGGTCAGGATTCCCCCCCATGCTTTGGATGATAAGAGAGAGCCAGCCCCAGGAGAACAACTTGAACTCTATCCTGAGTTGGAGAAGTGTGAACTGAGGTTGCTATGGTTTTCTGAACTGAGAAAGCCAGAAGCTCAATGGGTGCTTTAAGGGGGTACCACAGAATAGATAAAAAAGGAGACATTATTCAAATACTGCCAGATTCAGACATACTGCTCTTGGGGGTTTTAGAAACCAATCCTTATCTGTATGGAACTCTTTCTTTCTCAATTACGCATGCTAGTCTCTTTCATATTTCACAACTCCACATATTCTCATTGTTAAGAGAAATCGTCTTAAGACAAACTTCATTGAAATGAACCAGGATTTCTTTTCTTTTCTTTCTGTCTTTCTTCCTTTCTTTCCTTCTTTTTCTTCTTTTCCCTTTTCTTTCTCTCACTCTCACTTCCTCCCTCTCTATCAACTTTTAAAGATCAACAATGCATAAAACATTACCATGACAGAATTCAAAGTATAGGAGGTGTTAAAAACCAAGTAAATACTTCTTGGTTCTTGGGCGTTTGGAGTTCATTTTCTTCAGTTGGGTGACTTTAAGTGCCATGTTTTTCCTCTGGTGAAAGTCAGTTTAATCTTGTGCTAAAAGGAGAAACATCCTTTCCTCTCTCTAAACTACAAAATGATTAAAATTATAATTTTAGATAGGTACAATCATGAGCTGGTTAAAGATGAAGTAATTTCTTCCAAAATATTTTTTCGCTAAATGATCCTTGCATCATTTAAAGAAAAAGATGAGTATGTTTTCGATACACGAAATTATCAGGAGTGAAAAAGCCAATCATATATATATATATATATATATATATATATATATATATATATACTTTTTTAAAAAAATACTGAAACTGAAAATGTGCTTTGAGAACCTTGCTCCCTTGTATGTTATATCTTTATTTCTATTTAATGCAGCTATTCAAACACATATGGGATTCCTTTTAGTAACATATTTATGCCAGAAGTATTTCAGTAGCATATCACATATAGTCCTTATGAACAGAAAAGCAATAAACTCTTTCACAGTAAAGAAACTAGTCAAATGAAAGAGTAATCAAAATGCAGTTTCACAATTGAGGCAAATAATAAATTCCATAAAGAGAGAGAACTTCATAACTTCATACAGTTATTAATGTTATCTTTAATTCAAATGAATCAGCAAACATAGTTAGATTTATATGTATATATGGTCCTTCATGCAGGGAAAATTAATATAAAAATCTTCAGTAAATCTCATAGTCAACTATTAATAACACCCTGCATACTTCCACACTGGAGTCATTTATGCTGTCCACCACCAATTTCCCCTAAAAAAAAAAAAAGAAAGAAAGAAAGAAAAAGTATTCTTATATTGAATATAGACCTTTTATTTTCTTTTAAGCCATAAATTAACTTGCCGACTTTTATGGAAATATGCATGCACAGTGAGAAGCAATTTTATTCAGAAAAGTAATAAGGATTGAAGTGTAACATTCCTTAGCCATGACTAACTGAAAATATTCAGTCAAATAAAATATGAAATATATATCCATATAGTCAAACTTGGGTTTTAATGGGTTAATATCACTTCAAATTGCTTAAGCTGGTATATAACTGACCGATCTGAGACCATTGCATCTTAGCAAAGTTAAATAGTCCTCTAATCTCCTACTGCTCCCCAAGATTTAAGATGACATTTTAAGAGAGGAAATGATCTTCCTCTCAGTCACCCTCAAATCCAAGGCAGTCGCCAAGAGTGTAAATTTACTCACATGAAACAATCATTGATTAAATTGGTTCAAAAAATTAAATTACACGCTTTTGCAAGCACAAAGCCCTTGAGATGGCTGGTGTTTTTCCACCTGTAATAATATAAAATCTGACCATTAAGTGTACCCAAAATTATGTACTATAGGAAAAAGTAAAGCCAAAGGTCTAGGGGTGAATTGTGACTTTTAATTGAAAGGATAAAGTTTCACTCCAGGTATCTAAGCCAACAAATTCATGGTCACTTAAAAATCTAATGAATGAAGTTTCACGGACTCAATATTCCTGAAGTTTGCCTGAAAAATGAAGAATAACTTCTACTTTTGCTATTTTAAGTAAGAATAGAGCGATCAAAATGTTGTCTGCATCAATCCATTTACATGAACCACAAAAGACCTGTGGAGAACTTAATAAAAGCACAAATATTTTTGGTACACTTTTTTCAGGCAAATTACTTATTTATTTATGAAATAATTTATGAAGAAAATTTTTACCTCATGTTGGAGATATAATACATATGCTCTTGATTGACACAATATGTTGTAGCTCAAAGGCCCTCGTAGCATTTTTTAACTCTAGTAAGAATATTTCAAAACAACCAACTAATACATGAGGTCATAATTGTTTGACAGTTGTTTTTAATATATAAAATAAGTTATGTATATTGTTTGCCTTCAAATGTTTGTTGATTTGTTTTTCCATTTCTGACATTTGCATGGCACAAAATGAATTAGGGGAAATATTAAAGATGTATTTACATTTATTATCTTCTGCTGTCAAACACATGCAAAGCTCTTTAAACCATGCTCCTCTTTTGCTTTTAATAGCAATGCATTCCTAAACAATGGAGTGTGGATGTTCAAATGGCAACCTGCGTCTTGTAGGGCACACCAGAAACATTTTCAGGGAAATAAAATGCAAGCAAAAGAAGCAACTTTCCAATAAAATAACCTCTCTCTAATCTTTCATAGTGCTTTGAATTCTGGACTATTTTCTCATGATTGGACAACTGATGAAACACTTCCTCAAGCTGAATTGCTGCTTATTATTTATCAAAATGACATAATAATATATTATTTAAACACCCTCCCCTGCCCGTTTTTTGTAGTTTATTCAGCAGAGATACAAAAAGGGATTAGTAGTTAAGCACAGAGATACTTGTTTTACATTTTCAACCTTTTAGCACATAACTTACTCACAATTCCAGTTCCTGTAATCACAATGATTTTACCTGATGGAACACGTAGAGCAGAAATGTAATCCAACTGTTTACCCTAACACATCATAAATTGCCATTCCTTTTAGAAATCTCAAAGATTGACAACCCCTGGTCCTAGATGCCGATTGCTTTAACACATATGTTCAAGGAAATATTTCTTTATTATTTGCTACATCAGGTGAAATAGAAGATCATTTTGCCCTCCAGGACATCAAAAGCAATTATTGAAGTGTTCTGCCCATCACCGTGGTACAACCTGAAGCAAAAGAAGTATTATCGAGATGAACTCTTAAAGTCTATTTCTTCTTCCAATCACAGGGCATTCAACCTTTAGGAAAAAAAAGAAAAAAAAAACACTTGCACAAACTATGATTATTTTCCAAATTACCTATTGCTGAGCACCGCTGGGTAAATTTATGAAAGATAAATTCAGCTTTAAATAGCCTGTATCTGGTATTCAAATTCACACTTACACTTGCCAATCCTCCCCCTGCAATACCAGGCAAATGCCTAGTTAAACAGATGGGCCTTTCAGCCCACCCTAAAAGCCAACAAACATGGGCTTTGTTTAATTAAAAAGGGAAACAAATTTCTGAGGTGTAGACACACACACGTGTCTGCACACACCATACACACATACGTACGAAAATTCCTGACTAGGCTGCCCTAGAAGAAAATAATGATTCTTGCTATTTCATTTAGATTTCATGAATATCCAACTCTGTATTATCTGCTGGATTGAAAGTAGAACTAAATAGATTTTTTGGTGCTGTTTATTCAAACCAACCACTATGGGAAATGCTATCAGATCTGACTTCTATTTACTCAAATAAGACAATTTATATCCCCCAAATCCAGATCCAACTCCATTCTCTACCTGACCCAGCAATGGAAGTTATTTCTAATCTTTGTCTTTCTACACTTTGTTCGGCTATCTTATATTATCCTCTTTCCAATCCTGTCTTTTCTCTACAAACTTTTTTTAGGGCAATTTAATCTCAGTTGTAATAAGCAAGGTTG